CCCTCCTCAGATGCCCGGTTACCTCTCACTCCATGTCCCAAACTAAACTAGGGCCACTCAGGTTCATACAAACTAGCCTGGGAAATCGGATAAAACGGAACAATTTCCTTACAATGACCACAACAATACAGACACACAGACTCACACTCACACCCATATGCACACAAATCCTTGGTGATCCTGGCTGGAAAAAAAAACAAGGCATTTCCTCCAAGTATATTTTTTAATAAAAGTTGTTAAAGCTTTTAAATTTTTTTCAAATGGATTTTTTTAAAGATTTATTATGTGTACAGTGTTCTGCCTGCATGTATGCCTATAGGTCAGAAGAGGGCACCAGATCTCATTACAGATGGTTGTGAGCCACCATGTGGGTGCTGGGAATTGAACTCAGGACCTCTGGAAGAGCAGCTGGTACTCTTAACCTCTGAGCCATATCTTCAGCCCCAGCCTTATAATTTTATAATTCTCTCTCTCTCTCTCTCTCTCTCTCTCTCTCTCTCTCTCTCTCTCTCTCTCTCTCTCTCTCTCTCTCTCTCTCTCTCTCTCTCTCTCTCTCTCTCTCCTCTCTCTCTCTCTCTCTCTCTCTCTCTGTGTGTATGTGTGTGTGTGTGTGTGAGTTGGTTCTCTCCCTCCACCTTGTGAGTGGGTCTCAAGGATCAAACTCAAGCTGAACCATCTCACAAACTTCTACTTCTAGGTGCTAATAGAGCATTTAATTTTTTTAAATTAGTAGTGGTGCACACCTTTAATTGATTATGCATACAGTATTCTGTCTGCATGCATGCCTCCGGGCCAGAAGAGGGCACCAGATCTCATTATAGATGGTTGTAAGTCACCATGTGGTTGCTGGGAATTGCACTCAGGACCTCTTCAGGAACAGTCAGTGCTCTTAACCTCTGAGCCATCTCTCCAGCCCAAGTGTTTAAATTTTTATCAGTCTTTTATTCCCAGAACTAAAAAGGCAGGAGGTGAGTAATTCTCTGTGAGTTCCAGGCCAGCCTGGTCTACATGGCAAGTTCCAGGCTAATCAGAGATACACAGTGAGACCCTGTCTCAAAATAATAAATATTTTGTTCACCAGAGTTGACTGAGATTGTGCCCACTTGTAACCCTGGCCCACATAATAAGACAAAAAACCTGGCTGACAATCTCTCTGGCCAGAGCCTTCAGCAAAAGTCCGCTATAGCTGCAGCTTGGCTGCTCAGCATTCACTCCTAATGTCTTCTGCACGGTTGGCTAATGTGACCCCAGTCTCCCCAAACCACACGATGGGCAAGAAAGCACAGCCCCCAGCCCCCAGCACAGGGCAAAGCTGAGCAGGGACCCAGCCTGGTCCAGATTCCCTCCCTTCACTCCGAAAATGAGCCTGAAGTCACAGGGAGAGAGGAGCAAGACACTCTGGTGTGCCAATGCTCAGCAGGGGGACAGTAATGCACTGAGCATTTTTTTTAATCTAGAGGAGGGGCTAGGCAGTGGTGGTGTACATGTTTAATCCCAGCATTTGGGAGGCAGAGGCAGAAGGATCTCTGTGAGTTTGAGGGCAGCCTGGTCTACAGAGAGAGTTCCAGAACAGTCAGGACTACAAAAAGGAAGGAAAGAAGGGAGAAAAGGAGAAAGGGAGGGAGGGACGGAGGGAGGGAGGAAAGGAGGAAGGGAGGGAGAGAGGAAGGAAGGAACGAAGGAAGGAAGGAAGGAAGGAAGGAAGGAAGGAAGGAAGGAAGGAAGGAAGGAAGGAACACAGGCCACAATCCTGGACCCAGGGACTACAGACTGAAGCATTTGTAGGAACAGAGTTGAGACATGGGCTGATGGAGCCTCAGGCTCCAAGGTCAATCCCCAGAACCAAACACTGGATACAAATGAGTTACTAGGTAAGATGAGCAGGACTTGACCAGGAATGAGGGATTAGTGGAGTAAGAGGTACACTGTTGTACTCAGGGGCTGGCCAGACCGGGCACCAGGCAAATGGGAGACAGGGAATGTACCCCTGTCCTTTGCTGAGATGTCAAGGGAAGCCAGCCCTCCCAAACCCTGCCATATCTCCCACTTTTAAATGTAGGCTCAAAAGTTTGATGGGCAATAATCAGATGCAACAATGAACAGTGCAGACCCTCAAGTCCAGACAGCTCTTTAACCTCAAGCTTTTGTTGTTTTCACAAATGACTTTGAACATCTTTTTTTTGGGGGGGGGTTTCCAGACAGGGTTTTTCTGTGGCTTTGGAGGCTGTCCTGGAACTCACTTGGTAGTCCAGGCTGGTCTCGAACTCACAGAGATCTGCCTGCCTCTGCCTCCCAAGTGCTGGGATAAAAGGCGTGCGCCACCAACGCCCAGCTGACTTTGAACATCTTATTTAACCTTTTTATGTCTCATTTTTCTCATCTGAAAAAAATAAGATATTTCGCCTCCAAGACTACTGTAAAGAATTTTTAAAATGCCTAAGTGTGTGTGTGTGTGTGTGTGTGTGTGTGTGTGTGTAACAGCGCCTAGCACATGGAAACACTATGTAAGTTTTTTTTTTAACTGTTACCATCTATGGTGGTTTGAATAAGAATAGATCCCAAAGGCTCATATAGTTGAATGCTTGATCATTACTGAGTAGCACCACTTGAGAAGGATTAGGAGGTGTGGCCTTATTGGAGTAGGTGTGGCCTTGCTGGAATAGGTGTGACCTTGTTGGAGGAAGTGTGCCATTGTGGGTGGGCTTTGAGGTTTCAAAGGCCCAAGGCAAGTCCAGCCCCTGTCTCTCCCTGCTGCCTGCAGAGCCGGATGTCAGACTCTCCAGTTCTCCAGCACCATGTCTGCCTGCCTGCAACCATGCTCCCTGCCATGACGACAATGGACTAAACCTCTGCTACTGTAAACTAGCCCCAATTAAATACCTTCCTTTACGAGAGTTGCTGTGATCATGGTGTCTCTTCACAGCAATAGAACACTGACTGAAACATCATCATTACTTTGTAAGCATGGCGTAGAGCAGTGGTTCTCAACCTGTGGGTCACAGCCCTTTTGGTACCCAATAACCTTTCCACAGGGGTCACATGTCAGATATCCTGGGAATCAGATATTTACCATTCATAAGGGTAGCGAAACTACAGCTATGGAGTAGCAACGGAATAATTCTCTATTTGGGGTCACCACAACCGCAGTAAAGCGTGGAAGCATTGGGAAGGTTGAGAACCACTGGTGCAGAACAAAAGAAGCTTCTCAAAGGGTCCCAGCTAAGACAACACTGAAACTGCATGAGCCTGCAGTATGGCCATAGGACCCTACACTGTGAAGATGGGTGAGAAATCTGAGTCCAGTTTCCAGCAGCCAGCCCCATGTGAGGTGCTCTCAAAGGCACACCCACTGCCGCTCTTCCCCCTTCCCCCTCTCTCTCACACAAATGCAAACACAAGCACCCTGCAGATTTTCTGCCAGGCAGGTGGAAAGGGTCAGGATGCCTTCCTAGTCAGCACTTTTGGTCAGAGAGAGGCATTCTGGGCACAAAGAGCTCAGGAGAAAAGTCCGACTCAGCTTGGAAATAAATTCAAGGAGTTTTTGGCCTTAGGGCTAGTGTTATAGCCCTATCCACACCAGGCTATGGGTTACTTAGGGTTAGAGACAGCTGGGTATTTTCACGATTAGTAAGACTGCCCAGAGCTGAAGGGTTATCTGAGAGGCCCTGGCTTCCTGAGTTGATGCAGTTCTGCAGAGAACAACCTTGTTCTTTGACTGTTTCTCACCAATTCACAAAAGCCCCCTATCCTTCCACACACTGCAAGGCCTTGCCTCGGGCCTTCCTCCAGCCCCTACTGAGCTCCCAGCTAAGCGTCTGCTAGCACTTAACAACAGGAGGCTTAATTAATTAAAAGGGGAGAGAGAGAGAGAGAGAGAGAGAGACAGACAGACAGAGACAGAGAGAGACAGAGAGAAACAGAGACAGACAGAGACAGAAAGAGAGACAGAGAGAGAAACAGAGAGAGACAGAGACAGAGAGATAGAGAGAGAGACAGAGAGACAGAGAGAGAGAGAGAGACAGACAGAGACAGAGACAGAGAGAGAGACAGACAGAGATAGAGACAGAGAGAGACAGAGACAGAGAGAGACAGAGAGAGAGACAGAGACAGACAGACAGAGAGAGAGAGAGAGAGAGAGAGAGAGAGTGACCAGGCAATGGAATTGTATCTCCATTCCATTTTAAACTCTTCCTTTCCTCGTTTGACTCCTTTAATCTACCCTAATTTCTTTCAGCTGTTGGGCTGTCCTTCCCTATGGAAGCAACAACAACAAAGACAGTTAAGAAGCACTGTCTTTGGGGCCCCTCTTGCCCATACCTCTCAACACCCTGGTAACGCAGATGTGACTAACCCTCTTCTGATGGTGATGGTGAGGAACCCACAGTCAAAAGGGGCAGTTAAGAGTCTTCCCAAGCCAGTCCGTGATGCACACCTTTAACCTCAGTGCTCAGGAGGCAGAGGCAGGTGGATCTCTTGCATTCAAGTCAGCCTGGTCTGTGTAAGAGTTTTAAGTTTGTTTGGTTCAAACGAACAAGAATCTTGCCCCAAATCACACAGCTTGTAGCTGGTAAAGCCAGGAGTCAAAAGGGAATCAATGCCTCCAAAGCCCATGCTCTAAACCACCTGAAGGAATCAGCCACCTTTCCCATCTGCCTGAAATGGGTTTTCTAGTCTGCACCCTGAGCTAGAAACCATGGAATGAAACCCCAGTCTATGGTCTTAGTGGATATGGCATCTTGTCCCCCTGGACTTAGGCTTCTGTACACTCTACCTCTAGAAAGACATCCGAAGTCAAAAGCAAGACTAGGAAGGTGAAAGTGACACATTTTAGGAAGATGCCACAAAAATCCACAATGGTATAATCTGAGTGCTAGGATTCCAGGGGATCTGACACCCTCACACAGACATACATGCAGGCAAAACATCAATGCACACAAAATAGTCTTTAAAAAAAAACAACCTCATTTTGCTCAACATTGCATTTATTCATGTATCTCCAATTGATCTGCCCAGAGCCATCTGTCTTTTAAACTAACACAAGTAACTGCATTATATGCATGGATTGAGATCTACTTACTCAGTTTCCTGTTGAAGAACATTTGGCGCATGACTCTTTGATGTTGTAATGGCCATAGTCTATGTTAAGAATCGCTAAAGGCAGCCTATGAGGAAAAAGAGAAAATATGTGTCACTTGTGTATCTGGTCAGGGGTTAATTTCTAAAACATGTAAGGAACTTCTACAATGCAATAACAACAACAACAACAAAAAGAAATAGTCTAATTTAGAAGCAGACATTTCTAATAGAGACACACCAATAGCCAATAGCTACTTGAGAAAATGCTCCGCTGGGAGAGTGTTGTGGCATACACCCTCAACCCTAGCACTCGGGGGTGGGGGCAAGAGGATCCCAAAACTGAGATCAGTTTGAGCTACATAGAGGCTCTGTTAGGATGAGGAGGGGCAGAGGGAAGAAAGGGGGGAAGAAAGAGGAGGAAGAGAAGAGGAGGAAGAGGCGGCAATGACAGCAGCATGAGCCGCTGTCTTACCAGAGCCCATCAGCACAGCTATTATAAAGCAACAGAAAACAGCAAGTTGGCAGTTATCGGTGCGCAGCGAGGGAGACGGGAAATTGTGCATTACGGATGAGAATGATAGCAGGCACCATGGAAAATGGCATGGGAATGCAAAAACCTTAAAGCTAAAACTACCCTTTCAGCCAACAACCACTGCTGGGTATAAATCCAAAAGCACTGAAAGTGGGTGGGATCTTGGCCTGGCAAGATGGCTCAACAGGAAAAGACATTTGCTTTTGCAAGCCTGACCTGCATGTGATTCTTGGAACCCATGTAAATAAAGATGGAAGGAGAGAACATCTCCACAAATTTGTTCTCTGACCTCCATACATGCACTGTGGCATATACATACACACACGCACACATACACCACCACCACCACCACATACAGACACAATAAATGATAGACAGACAGATTATCTCAAAGAGATATTAACACCACATCATATTCTCTGCAACGTAGAGAACCACATACCCACACCTACAATCCCAGCTCTGAGGAGGAAGATAAGGGCAGCAGAATCAGCAGTTCAAGGTCAGCCTGAGCTACATGAGACCTGTTCCACAAAACCAAAATAAAAGAGATCTGGGGACAACTCAAATACCTATTTAGGAATGAATGGATTCTTCTGGCTATACTATACAGGTAAAACAGAACTGCATTCAACCTCACTTTTAATCCCAGAACTCAGGACACAGAGGTAGGCAGAGCTCTCTAAGTTTGAGGCCATCCTGATAGACATCAAGTTCCAGACCAGCTAGGGAAAAAAGGAAAGAGAACATGAAAGGGAAAAAAAAGAAAGAAAGAGGGAAGGGAGATAAGGAAGGAAGGAAAGCAGGCAGGGAGGCAAGTAAGGAAGCAGAAAGAAAGAAAGAAAGAAAGAAAGAAAGAAAGAAAGAAAGAAAGAAGGAAGGAAGGAAGGAAGGAAGGAAGGAAGGAAGGAAAGGAAGGAAGGAAGGAAGGAAGGAAGGAAGGAAAGAAAGAAAGAAAGAGAAAGAGGAAGGGAGGAGATGGAGGGAGGGAAGAAGGGAGGGAGGGAGGGAGGGAGCTATCTCCACCTCAGAACCTGAGGTGGGACAATCCGCCTGCTATGGACGCTGCCATTTCCTGGCTGGGACCCTGTACAGTGTGGAGAAAGAAAGCTGAAGTACCCATTCTTCTCTCTCTTGCCTGCCTACGCATGCAATGGGTGTTGTCATTTTCAAAAAGCCGTGCAAAGAGAGAGAGACGCCACGTGACAGAGTTCAAGTGGAGTGTTTTTCTAATTAGGGAAAGGGATCATAAAAATGGGGGAGGGGAGGGACGAAGACTGACAAGGAGACTCTGAAGGAAGGGCCCAGGCTGAGAAGGAATGAGCCAGGATGAGAAGTAGGAAGGGGCAACCTTGGCACAGAAACGAAATCTCATGAAGTCTCATCTCATAGACACACCAGGAGGCTCCAGGAGTTCAGAGAGCTACGTAGCAAGAGGAGGGATGGTGAGATGGCCCAGCGAACTAAGTCTGTTCTGCCCAAATTCTGAACCACCAAATCACCAAGAGGCCCATTTCAATGCAAAAGCAAAGAGTCTTTTATTGTAGTTGTTTAACAAGCTAACCCCATTAGCTCAGGTCTTTCATCCATCCACCTCTGTAGATGGCTGGAGAAAAGACCCCAAGAAATCACAAGACAGAGATCTTATAGGGCAGCATAAGGGGCGTGTCTAGGGGTATGCAACAGTCTCAGGATTGGTGCACTTCCAGGCTTGGACACCCTGCCCTGTGTTGACTGGTCAACTGGTTGTTATGGCCCATAGGCCCTCCCAGGGCGGTTGCTATGCTCTGCACATCACTGTTGTGCACTTGTCCGTAAAGCACACACAGAGCCATAAAGCACAGGCCCACCAGCTAGCTTCTGATTGGTTCCTTGTCATGAGGAGGGCATCTGACCTTAGTGACCAGGACAGGAGGGGCAAGGTCAGATGAGCACATGTTAGCCTGTCATGGCCCCTAAAACTGGACTTCAAGTCAGTTGCTACCAATCCTGATGACCTGAATTCAACCTCCGGGACTCACATGGGGAAAGATCTAACTTTTACAAGTTATCCACTGACCTCCACATGCGTGCAGTGGCATACACACACACACACACACACACACAGAGAGAGAGAGAGAGACAGACAGACAGACAGACAGACAGACAGACAGACAAAGAGACAAAGAGACAGAGAGAAATGATAGAAAAACAGACTGAGAGAAAAACAGAGACAGAGAAAAAGAGAAGGAGATGAGGAGAGAGGAGAAGGGGAGGGAGAGAGGGAGGGAGAGAGGGAAGGAGGGAGGCAGGAGGGGGAGAGAGAGAGAGACTATCCAATGGGGATGTATCCGGGAGGAGTGATGGGAAAGGCTGGAATGTGTCTCCTAAACATCCTGCCTTGGAGATGAAGTGCAGAACCTGAGACTGTAAGTTCTCGTAGGAAGCACTTTGGTGGCCCTGGCAGGTTCATCCAGCCATCTATAAATGGTCACCCGGGTTACCTCTGGGTCTCGGGCTTAGAACACAGCTGCTATGTGTGAGCAGTCACACAACCTGCTTCCTCACTTTCTTTCCATTTAGGTACATGTTTAGGAGTGGAATGGCTATAGAATATAAGCGATGGATGCTAAGTCCTTGTAGAAACTGCTTTTGGGCTGCTGAGGTGGCTCAGAGGTTAAGACCACTGGCTGCTCTTCCAGAGGTCCTGAGTTCAATTCCCAGCACCCACATGGTGGCTTGCAACTATCCGTAATGAGATCTGGTACCTTCTTCTGGCCTGCAGGCATACGTGCAGGAGGGACATCGTATACATAATAAATAAATCTTTGAAAAAAGAAAGAAAAGAAAAAGAAAGCTCTTTCCTGTGGCTGCACCGACAGGAAGCAGCAGGAAAGAAAGAGACAGGAGAAGGAGACTGTGAGAAAGTGCCTGATATGCAAGTGTGAAGTCGTCACAATGCAATCTTTTTTTATTTACGAGAAAAATGAAAAGCAAAAAGATGGTTGAGTCATTTTACATTCTTGCCAGTACTGTATCAAGCCTTCTCTCTTGTCAACACCAGGAAAGTCAGTCTCTTTAATTTTTGTGAATTCTCTTTTTTTAGTTTAGATGTTTTTATGTTCATTGGTGTTTTGCCATGGGTATCAGGTCCCCTGGAACTGGAATTACAGACATTGTGAACTGTCATGGGGGTGCTGGGAATTGAACTGGGGTCCTTTGGAAGAGCAGCCATCTACTTAACCTACATTAACCACTGCGCCATCTCTCCGGCCTCTAACCTTTATGTATTCTAATAGGCATGTCTTGGTAGCTCATTGTGTTTTGATTGCATTTCACTAGGAACTAGCTGGTTAAGTATCCTTTCCTGTGTTTGCTAGCCCTAGATATTCTTAGACAAAGTGTCTTCAAATCATTCCCCCATGGCTTTAGTTGCAGTCCTCAGCCTATGACGACATACCTGACAAAAAACGCAGCTGGCTCACAGAGAACACTTCATCACCAGCAGAGAGGGTGTGGCAAGTGGCCGTGGCTAATGCAGCAGGAGAGTGAGGCAGCCGGACACACAGCTCCAGAAGCAGAGAGAGATGAATGTGTCGACTCTCTCCTTCATAGTCCAGGATCAGGTCATACAACAGTGCCGTCTGCATTCAGGGTGGATTCCGTCCTCAGTCAACTTTCTCTGGAAACACAGACGCGCCCAGAGATGTATCTCCTAGGTGACTGTAAATCCCACTGATAATCGAGATCAATTATCATGTATAATTTTCATTGAGTCTTATTTCATTTTAAGGTATTTTATATATCCTATATAAAATATTTTATGAGAATTATGCTTTAGAAATATTTTATCCTAATCTGTAATTTGTCTTTTCAAATCTCTTCATGATTTATTAAAAAGTGAAAATATCCAGGCATGGTGGTACAGCCTTTAATCGGAGCACTTAGGAGGCTGAGGCATGTGGGTCTCTGTAGATTAGAGGCCAGCCTGGTCTATATAGTGCTCCTGAACAGCCAGGCTGCATAAAGAGAACCTGTAATTATCATCATCATCATCATCATCATTAATTTTATTATTATTTTATGTGTATGGGTGTTTGCCTGCATTTGTCTCTGTACACTATGCTGTGCAGTGTCCATGAAAGTCAAAAAAGGGCACTGGGTCCTCTGGAACTGGAGTTAGAGAGGGTTGTCAGCTGTCGTGTAGGTGCTGGGAACACAGCCAGGGTCCTCTGTAAGGGCAGACAGTGCCCTTAACCTCAGAGCACTCTCTGCCGTGGAATACCTTCTGCACACCTTGAAAATGTGTTGCTTTCATTGTTAATAAAAGTTGATTGGTAGATAGCTAGGCAGGGTTTTTGGCCAGAGAGCATGCTGGGAAGAAGATGGGTGGAGTCAGAAGAGTCGCCAGGAGATGCAGAGGGAGCAGGACACGCTGGAAGACAGGTAAAGCCACGAGCCACGTGGCAGAATGTAGATTAATAGAAATAGGTTAATTTAAGTTATCAGAGCTAGTTAGTAATAAGCCTGAGCTATCAGCCAAGTATGCCTCTGGAGGCAGAAACAGGCAGGTATCTGAGTTTTAGGCCGGGCTGATCTACAGAGCAAGTTTCAGGCTACACAGAAAAACCCTGTCTCAAAAAGACAAGGAAGAAGGGGGAGAGGGAGGAAGGAAGGGAGGAAGGAAGGAAGGAAGGAAGGAAGGAAGGAAGGAAGGAAGGAAGGAAGGAAGGAAGAAGGAAAGTAGCCATTTTAGCTAGGCAGAATCTGCCTATCTTTGCCCCTACCAATGATGGGGTTACAAACACACACTTCCTTAGCTTTTACATGGGTACTGGTGCTGACTTAAACTCGGGTACTTAGGCTTGCATGCCTTCAAAGCAAGTGAGCACATACAGCATATACACTGAAGCACACAAGCTACTGCTGAGAATTAGTAAATATCTAAGTGGAGAGGCATACCTGATCATGGATTTAAATGTAGGTGTGTGTGTGTGTGTTGTTATTACGTGTGTTTCTGTATGTGTGTGTGTGTGTGTGTTACTGTACACTTGTACAGCTCAGGCTAGTCTTACACAGCTAAACTGGCCTTGAACTCCTTACCCTCCAGTTTCTTATTTGTCCAGCGCTGACATTACAGGTGTGCACTACCAGGTCTGGCTTAAAGTTTTGCTGCTTTGTGGTTTGGGTTACTGTTGTTGTCGGTCATCATCTCCTTCTCCTCATCTTCCTCTTCCTCCTCTGGTGCTAGAGGTTGAACCCATGGCCTCAAAGATGCTAGGCAGGAGATAGGTACACCATCACCAAGCTAGATTGTTATTCCTCCATACTTTTTTGTTGCTGTTTGTTTTTGAGACAGGGTTTCTATGTGTAGTCCTGGCTGTCCTGGAAATCACTATGCAGACTAGGCTGGTCTTGAACTCACAGACATAGACCTGCCTCTGCTTTCTGAGTGCTGGGGTTAAAAGATATGCCTTACCATACCCAGGAAAGAATCACTCATTATTTTTAGGTTTAATATAACAAGAACTTTCCACAGAGAAACCCTGTCTCGAAAAACCAAAAAAAAAAATATATATATATGTGTATATATATATATATATACATATATATATAAAGAACTTTCTAGGGGCTCAGAGGTTAAACTGCCCTTCCTGATGTCTTGAGTTCAATTCCCAGCAACCACACAGTGGCTCACAACCATCTATAATGGAATCTGATGCCCTCTTCTGGCATGCAGGCATGCATGCAGATAGAACACTACATAAAATACATAAATACATCAATTGAGTGTGTTATAGCATTTCCTGTGTTATGGACACTACTTTAAGATGTTTACAGTGCTAGCTGGAGAGATGGCTCAGAGGTTAAAAGCACGGGCTGCTCTTCTAGAGGACCTGGGTTCAATTCCCAGCACCCACATGGCAGCTCACAACTGCCTATAGTTCCAAGATCTGACACCCTCACGCACACATACACACAGGCAAAATACCAATGCACATAAAAATAAACAATTAAAAAAAAGATTTTTACAGTGTGTTTACCTGCACATATGTCTATGTACCACATGGATGCACTGTTTCAGAGACCATAAAAAGGTATATCAGAGCCTCCAGAACTGAAATTTTTTCATTAGATTTATTCATTTTATTTTACGTGTGTTTTGCCCACATGTATGTATGTCTGTGTACTACATGTGTGCTTGTGCCATGGAGATCAGAAGAGGTCATTGGAACCTCTAAAAATGAAGTTACAATTGGTTGAGAACCACCATGTAGACACCAGGAATTGAACTTAGGACCTCTGCAAGAGCAAAAAGCGCTTGTAGTCACTGAGCCATCTCTCCAGACCTGGGAGTATTGTAAATGCCTGGAGTAGTGGCGAGGAGGAAAGAACTCCAGGTATGGGACTTGGAGGCACACACCTCTGTTTCCCACCTTGGGAGACAGAGGCAGGAGAATCAACGTGTGCTGGATGGAAGGAAGCCTTAGCTACTTCAGGAAAACCCTGTCTCAAAGAAGAGTGTTGGTAAGATGGCTCATTGGTAAGAACACTTATATTGCAAGCCTGAAGACCTGAGTTTGAACCATCACCCATGGTAAAAGTTAGGCATGGCTGTTTGTGTTTGCAACCCCAGCATCTCTATGGGGCAGAGACAGGGGGAGCCTGGGAGTTCCCCACAGGCTAGTCAAAATGGCAAGCTCCCAGTTAGGGAGAAATCCAGTCTCAAGGTAATGGTGAGGCAGAAAACAATGGAAGACACTATACATACATATATCACACATACAGGGAAGAGGAGAAGATCAAGAATTCCTGCTCTCCCAGAGCTTACCTTTAACCGAGAAAGATAAACACGCCAAACACTTGAGTGTGGCGGCTTGGTGATAAGTACAAGGGAAGAAGAGAAAATGTAGGAAGGAGCATCAGATGGCCTGGGGACTCGGCAAAGGCCTGGGGAAAGGAAGTACACTGTAGCTGGAGACACTTCAACAAGCCCTGATAAGGAGGTGGAGGTGATGCTTGCTGAGGTGGGCGTGGTCTAGGATAGCACATTGTTTGTGGTCCGGCAGTGGGGTGTGGCTCCTGGAGAGTCCATGAGAGCCCAAACAGCACAAGAAACAAATTCCTTAAAGCAGCAGGTCTGGAGTGCTCTAGGGACAGGGGAAGCAGTAAGCCAGTGAATGGGGCGCCAAGGCTGGAGGGCTCTGTGTGAGGACCTGGGAACCCTGGGTTCTCATGAGTCTGAGCACATGGGGAGGGGGAGGGAGGGAGGGTGGAAGGGAGAGAGGGAGAGGGAGAGAGAGGAGATGAGGTCAAGAGGTAGTCAAAGTAGGACCTCGAGGCTACTGCAAAGACTGACTTTGACTTTGAATGACCTGTACAGCCATTAGGTGGGGGAGACAGAGAGAGAGAGTAGGCCGGTTATCAACCTCAGCTGTCTTCCTGGATTGCTTTCCAACTTATTTTAAACGAGGTCTCACTGGGTAGTGGTGGTTAATCCCAGAGGCAGAGGCAGATGTGAGAACTCTGTGAGTTCGAGGCCAGCCAGCCTCCAAAGCTACAAAAAAACTCTGTCTCAAAAAAAAAACCAAAACTAAATAAATCAAACAAGGTCTTTCTTGGAATCTGAAGCTCACAAATATCTTGCCAGCAAACCCCTGGGGTGTCGCGTCTGCTGCGCGGCCTGTGTCCGAGAACGTGCGGAGGGTGTCGGGGATTGACAACACAGAGACTCGTTCAACGATGTAAAGAAAACTTTAAGCAGGCTCCAAAAAGGTTCAAGAAAACTTCCTAAGAAAGGCTCCCACCAGAGAAGCTTCTGCTCTCTCCTCTACCCTGGCTGGTTCTGCTCTGACCCCAGAAACTGATCTGGGCGTGGCAGAAGGGGCGGTTAGTCTTTGGACAAGGTCGAGGTCAGGGTGGTTTCTGTGGGCAGGCCTTTTCCAGGAACTTAATGCCCCCAGGCATTGTATTGTTTTTAGTAAACATGTCTTACAGCTGCCTACTCCCAGGCAGAAGGGGAAGTGGGTCTCTGCTCAAGGTCTGGTGTTCCCACAATTCACCCCTTTTTATTTTTAAATGAGGCACTCCTGGCTTAGGTCAAGTAGGGTCACCCTCCCTTTCCCGTCATTGGGGGACCTTGAACCCCTGTCTTAGGCGGGAGGGGTCTTCCCCACAAGTTGCCCGTCATCAGAGCACCCCAACTTTAAATCATCTGTAACCAACCTTCATGGCTATCGGGATTGCCATGGGCTAGGCTAAGCAATACTTGGTTACGGATCTCTTGCCTCTGGAACAAGGCACATTTGAGCCCGGCATAAAGCCAGAATGCCTACCGCCACTGCCACCATTTCCAGGACCCCCATTGACATAGCGCCTCTCCATCACCGTACCCATCACCAGATCTGGGCCATAACATTCTACCAGCCTTCGTCTGTTACAAGGGTAACATGTACGTGATTTACATTCTGTTACAAGGGTAACCCGCATGTGACTTAGATTTACAATTTGATAAAGTTACAATTGTTCCAAGATCTGCTCAGGAAAGCATTTAGAAAGTGCACTTGCACAGATACATTAGGTACAATCATTGATGTTACACATGTAGCATTATGAAAAATATGAACAATAGGCTTGTTGCACTATCCACAGAGCACCAATTTGTTCCTGTGGTGATGCAGTTTGTTGATTTAACGTCAGCTGATTATGCGACTTGAGTCAAAGTCTCCTTTTTGTCGCATTAGGACAAGTTGCATCTCTCTAGAAAAATACACTGGCCTAGTCGTGATTCCAGAAACAGGAACCACCAAGTCTGATATTTCAAGTGACCATGTCCTGTTCAATTACTGAAAAGAGGCTTTTGCCCCTCATCACAGTCCATACGAATGTCCAAATGTTTTAAATGGGTCCTTTTTTCTCTGTTGGCTTCACGATGAAAACTCATGGGTCCAGAAGGTTGATGCAGCAGGTCTGTTGAGAAACTGGAAATCTCGAACCGACTGTTTTCTTTCTTTCTTGGGCTCTAGATTCGATGACAGCAAGGGTCAGGAACACTGATTTAGGAGATCTCACTCAAACTGGCTTAGGTAGGCTCCCATGGTCTCAGGTCCAGTTTTTCTCTGCTCCATGTCGAAGCTTTTATTCTTTTCCTACAAGAAAACACAAACATGCCCTCGACCCCAAATTAGGGTCTTCTCCACTGTCTAGTGTATGGATGTGGGGACTGGGGACATTATTCCCCCTTTTTTATTTTCTAAAAAAATTTTTTTGAACTGTTGAAGCTGGACCATAACAGTAGAAGGATTTGTCTACCCTCCTTGGTTGACTATCTAGGTAAATTGGGATTACTACTTAGATTACTTGTAGATGCCCATTAAAAAGGACATATCCATTAAATATTTCCCAAAAACTTCTGAAAATCACTCAAAGATTGTAAACTATACTGTGTCCAAATAACTTTTGAAAATTATTTGAAGTCTGTGAGCAGTCTTTCCCAATCTAACCTATAGAGCTCTCACTAGCTGACAAGGCCTTATTTGTATCTTAAATTTTTCTGTTAAAACATTAACAGACTGGCTGGATGTTCCTTTTGTCTATATTTCAAGCAATCTAGGTAGCTTCTTAACTATTTTTGAAGGGATTTAAGTATCCTTTTAATCATATAAGCAGTTCACACTCACGCATTCACAATCACATTTCATACATACCGGTGTGGCCACACCATACATTCAGAACATACATGCATCTTTCAGTCATCCTTTTTCCCTAGGTCATGATTAGTCTGTTGCAATGAAGCTACCTTAATTGAAATCTATGTAAAAGAACAACTCCAGCCAATCCTTGAACTAAAAGGTTAAAAAGTCCTGTATGTTCTTTATCATTCCTCCATTTGAGCTACAGTCATGGGGTACAGCTGTACCTACTCCTTGTAACTGTAGATGCAAGGTAGAGAGGCCAAGCTTTTGGCCAAAAGTTTTTAGAGATGACTCACAAAATAGAACTTAAATGTAAACAAAATTTTCCATTCTATATACCTTTGTCTTTTTCTTTACTTAATACCAGTACCTTTTTACTGTTACAAATTTTTTGTTTCACCCATTTTTTTTTTTAAAATCAGGGTTTCTCTGTATTGTTTGAGGCTGTCAGTCCAGCCTGGCCTCGAACTCACAGAGATACGCCTGCCTCTGCCTCCCCAAGTGCTGGGATTAAAGGCGTGTGCCACCACCGCCCAGCTTGTTACCAATTTTTTTTTCCGTATTATTTGGAGGCTGTCTTGGAACTTGCTCTGTAAACCAGGCTGGCCTTGAACTCAAGAGATCTGCCTGCCTGTGT